GTCAATTTGATAACAAATGGTCAGCATTGAGGAATGTCCGTTCCCTGCTTGTTCACCAGTGTGAAAATGAATTACGCGATAGACATCTTTTTAAAATGTGTTATTTTTTTCTGTTCTGTCTGACTATTTTAATTTGTATGATGAATACGGTATGTGTTGAGACCATGTGCAGATCATACTGTCTTCCTTAGAAGGTTCCCCCGCCCCCCTCCCCCTCCCCTCTTATTTTGAAAACTCAGATTTGACATTTGGTCTTTTATACTGAGAACATAAAACCATCAAAAAAGAATGGTGTAAGCATTAGTGGAGTTGAATCTAGAATCATGATTCAATATCTAACTTAATCCTGAAGCCAAATGCTGTTTGAAATTAAGAATTAATAGTCTAGCAGTTCAAGACTGAAAATCTGAACTGCCTTTTGACTTGACTGTGCACACATACAGTTTGGAGTTTGGAAGGAGAGATGAGAACGGATTCCCTTCGCACATTTTGAGTTTTCTCTTGTTAACGGTCAACCAGCATCAGCAATATAACTTTTTGCTGATTCATAACTTCCATATTCGTTGTCTTCTCTTCCATATTTTTTTAAATGTCTGAAATTTTCTGTTTTTCTTTTCATGCGAATGTCCGATTTGTAAGTTCCAATGATTACCAGTCTAACCCTTATGTGGACTTTTGCCTAGAGTGATGGGGTCACCTTAAATGTTGTGTCTTATTAGGATAAATGATAAACAAATGTAAGAAAGTGATTAAGGCCTAATACTTAGTTTCTTCTGTGCTACTATTTACATGGATATACTGTAGATAAAGTTTCATGGCACAGTGTGTGATACAGAAAGAAGTGTGGAGCTTAAAAATCTTATGACTACTTTTGATTTTTCTTTTTTCCCTTTTTTTTATACTGTTTTGTCTCATGACACTGGATTTTAATTTGTTCCTTTGATTATCCTTTTTTACATGTACATGTGATCAAACGAACTGTCATACCTTGTTGTGATAAATGCTGTAATCGGTAAATAGGGAGAAGGAATGAATTTTCATCTAAGGTAAACAAACCATTATTATTCAGCATGAAAAATAAAGATGCAGAATCCAAAGGAAAATATAACTTATTAATAACAACAATTTCAAACAACAACATTAACACTTATTCTAATGCTCATTAAACAAGTCTGGTTAGTCATTCAGTGTTCAATTAAACAACATTAAATATCTTATTAGTCATGTTATGCACTTTAAACAAGACGTTAACGGAGTACTATGTGATTTGCCTGCAAGCTAAGATATTGTTTTATTGTTTCTTGACACTCACTGAATTCCCTCCATGGTCTCTGAATATTAGTTGACAGTAAAATTAAATGTTCTAGAAGACTTTCTGGAACTTCTTGAAGATATTGTCCTTTCAGCACATCAGACAATGTTTGGCGAAATAACACTGATGACTTCTTTAATTCATTTTCCATTAGTTCTATATCATTGACAGCACCACATGTACATTGTATTTTTGCTGATATTTCTATATCTCTCTTAATAGAAGTACCACATTGCTGACATTTGAACACAGGATTTGAAATGGGCTGCTCTTTATAAAAAGGCCAAGAACCTTGACAAGCTTCACATAAACAATGAAAGAAATATTGCTGAGACAGCTGATTCTGGCGATAATCAACAGAATGCAGGGCATGGTGGTATCCATAATTATCTAAAATATCCTCACCCTGTTGAATCGGCCGAATTGCACGTAGCACAGCCCAATCACCATAGCTATGGCGCACAACATTTGGATCACATGAATGATTTAGCAGACTTAATGTTGCATATCCTGCTGCACCTATTTCTTGGCTTTCAAATGAGCCCCCATTAACAATCATTTCAGACACTTCATGGGCATTGCAAGGAAGGCTTTGAAGTTGCTGTAACAGAATTCCTCCGCAGAAATAATACAAATCGTCATCAAAGTTACTGCCAAAGAAATCTGAAAAAACTTCTAAACAATGTAGCAAACAGGCAGCAGTTACAGATCGTCTAAATAGATCTGCATTTGAACGACGGTCAGAGTGTCCAATAAGATAATGAATTGGCCAATACTCAGTGGAAACATAACGTCCATTCTGATTAAAACCCCGTGTTCTCACATCTGGAGATTCATCTTGATTTTCTACATCTTCAAAGAACTGTTGGAGATTTTTTCCCTTCTGAGATGCAATTAGAAGCACCCTTAAAGCAAGGAGGCCCATTTTACCCACTCTCTTTGATATGATTGGTAATAGAGAGCAATCAACAGAATGAAATCTCTCCCAGCCATCTAAACGACACTTCTCGTTACAAAATATGACCTGTAAATATATACCAGATTAGTATACCTTTTGGTGAAAAGTCAACCCCCAGTAAAAAATGTGAGAGAGTTAGCTTAAAATGTTACCTGGGAGCACTGTAAACATGGCACTGGAGACAAACATCTTGCAAAACAGTTGAAACAGTGAGAAGCCATAGAATCAGGTAAAAGGACCGATGCAAATGGCTGCTCAACAATAAGCACCTCGCCTTGATTTAAAAATAAGTGAATGAGTCAGATACCAGAAAAAGCACGAAGGAGGACTATGGGTAATCATATCTCACCTGGCTTGATGTATTTAGTTGCAACCAAGTGTCTCCCTTTTTCCTCTGAATATTTTAGTGCTATGCAACTCGACGCACACTCAATCTCTTCATTGATTTTAAGAGAAACAGTTGGCTTGGTAATACATCCTACAGCAGTTGAATTTATGGTATTGACGCAGTCCAATGCTGGGGTGTTTTGGAGAATGTCAAGTTCTTGAGTCAATGACTTCAAGATCGATCCATGTTGTACTTGTTTCCCTGAAGGTACTCTTCTTAATTGGGTCTCCAGCTCCTACAGTTACAAAACAAAATCAACCTGCAACTTGAAAAAAGCATAGTCGAAAAAAATAAATATGTGAAAGCTAAATGTTTTATACAAACCTTCAGAGTAGATTCGGCATCAATTTTCATGCCAAGCTGTAGACAGCATTTCATTTTTCTTTCTAAGAGTTTAAATCGAAGCTCTTCGGGGTACCCACTCTGGAATGCCTGCTTGATATCACATAGGCAGGCTTGATAAAAGCCTAGAGCCCAGTTTACAGCAGAGCGATTGCCAATGGCCAACGAAAGTTCTTTGGATTTCAGTGGCGCAGCAGCTAAACTGCGATTGTAGTACTGCATAGCAAGGAGATCTTTTCTTTGTTGGAATGCTTTATTACCTTCATTTCTTAAATCTGTGGCAAGTTTTTGAGATTTTTCACTGGTATTTTCCAGGCTGGGTAGAAGGTTTTCTTCCTCCAGCAGTTGATATGCAAGAGCTACTCTTTCTGAGTTAGTTTTAAATTCGTAGAAGAGATGTGAGGTCACAACAACCCTATCTCCCACCTTCAGAGCGTCCAACAACCGCTCGAAAATGGTGTCTTCGAACAAGTACATGTCTTGTCTTAAGTAACGAAGAAACGGAAGAAAGACTCGGACATGTGGAGGTTATGGCTTCGAGCAGAAGCATGTTGTGGACCGAGGACCGGCAAGGGAGGGGAGGGTGAGTGGGGGAAAGATGACGAGAGGGGGGGAGGGAGGGGGTTGTTCTTAGGTGCTCTCTGGCCTGGCAGCTGGCAGCTCTCGTTAATTGAAGCAAGCTTGAAGACTTCAAGGGCTAGATAGGCAAGTTCTCAGCCACTATACCACAGTGCTATGTATTTTGCTTACAGTTTAGAAGGAAAATTTCGTTTTGTGAGACCACGCAGAAGTAACATTTATGTTCCAACTGAAAACTGCCTAGGTACTTCCCTCGCATGTGTTCCAATTTAAAGAAAAAAAAAACAAAAAAAACATGCATAGCTTATGCCAATGAAGACGGGGTCAGACGTAGAAAA